GGTCCTTTCATATCTGGTATTATTTATGTACAAGTGACTTGCTAAAGTCACAGGGGCATAGGGCAACTTGTGCAATTAATCTCTCGCAATTAGATAGAAAGTGAGTTTTAATTTTCTTTTCATCCAAGCATGGACTATGTTGACTTGGCCAAAACGTTTGGTGTAAGGACAAAGTTCAAATGCTTATGGCTTTACTTTTTTAAACTGACTTGTGAAATAGAAGGACATTTTTTTCCTAGAATCTGTGTTTGATCAGTAAGGAAATATGGATTTCTCTGAAGGATCAGGATGAATTTTTAAAAATATCTGTGTGGTCTTAATGATAACAAAACTAATATGACAATGTATCTGGGATAGTTAAAATGTTTTTATATGTATATGCATACACACATGCACTTGTTCTGCTCATGCACATTTCTTGATAAATTGTTTATCAGTAATTGTGACCTTCAATAGTGAATATATCTCCAGGAAGGAAGGAACATTGTTGTTTTTAGCAGTGCTTCTTTTGATACCTAATTTAGTAATAGTCTTCGTTTCCAGACACTGGCCTAGTACCAGAGAGCTCTTAAGCTGGTACCTGCTCTCTTACAATACAGATATTTACCTTAAGAACAACTTCAGTTCCATGTGAGCCCACCACCTCATGTGCACAGCTGAGGTGCACACCTGAGGCAGGAGGATCACAAGTTCAAAGCCAGCCTCAACATCTTAGCAAGGCCCTAAGGCAACTTAGCAAGACCCTGTCTCTAAATAAAATATAAAAAAAGGTCTGGGGCTGTGGCTCAGTGGTTAAGTGCCCCTGGGTTCAATCCCTGGTACAGAAAAAGAAAAAAAAAAAAAAAAAAAAAAAAAGACAAGGAGCCTTGCTATATTTAAAGAGTCTAAGAGACTTGACATATAAATATAAGGTCTGATCTTGGGTTGAATCCTGGATGAGAAAAAAAATTGTAGATTAGATAATTTTTATTGCATTAATGACAACCTCCTTGATTTTGATAATTGTACTATAATTAAATAAGTGAATCTCTGTATCCTGAGGAAAAGTATGCTGAAATATCTAGGGGAAAAGAACATGATGATTTCTGCAATTTATTCTAAGCGATTCAGAAAAAAATTATCTTTTTATGCATACAGACATAGAATAATAGAGCAAATGTGGCAAAATGAAAGCAATTAGTGAATTTGGGTGAAGTGCCCTATAGTTGCAAAATTTGTATATTCAATGTTTAAAAAAAAAAGAAATCAATCTTCCATAAGGTATACCTAGGAATAGAACTGCTAAGTCATAGGGTCTGATTTTTTTTGATTTACTACACAGCATCAAATTGTTTTCCAGTATGGTTGTGTTACAGAGCTGAGGGCTTTCAGGAAACTGAGTCAGCATGCAGACTCCCCCAACCCTAATTCTTGCAATCAAATCAGAAAAATTTCAGACGTATAACTCAGAGTAACAGGGATGAGTTTATTGAAGGGATAGGAAAAGGGAAAGGGGACATTCTCAAGGGCAGAGAGTGGGTCCTTTCAGAGAGGAGAGGGACAGTGTGCCTTTCCTGCACTTTAGTTTTATTGGGGGATCCCAGAGAAGTTTCCAGAGAGTCCTGCCCAGGTCTACTTCTTGACTTTTAACTGACAGCAGGATGCATCAGAGTTTGAAGTCCCCACTGCCATGGCAACTCTAGGTCACCTTGGTCCAGGCTGACAGGTTCTGATTGGAATTTTAAGCATAAATTCCTACAGATTTTATGGTTAATAGGAATTATCCTTATCTCCCTGAGCTTCAGAATCTTGTCTATGAAAAGGGTCATAAAGGTCTCCCCCTTCAGGGTAACTTGGGTTTCTCTTATCAATATTCGTTCAGGCCTGTAGTTGTTCTACAGATAACAGGTAGTTTGCTGAGGAATGTGACATATCCTCTCCACTTAAGCCAGGCAAGGCTGCAGGTAAATTGCTTCTTGGAAACGAAAGCATGTGGAGATTAGCATAGTGGGCCCATTTTCTAGAACTATTACCTTGAATTTGTGTTCCCACAATTTGCATCTGTCTGTCCCCTGTCAGTTGTACTAATTACATTCCTGTCATCTACATCTTCATCAACACTTGATATTATCAGGTTTAAAATTTTTATCAACCTTATGGGTATGAAATTGTATCTCATTGTGGTTTAGTTTGCATTTTTCTGATTATAATGAGGATGAACATCTTTTCAAATGTTTAGTCAATAAGGTTTAGTCTTTCTTTCTTTTTTTTTTTTGTTTTAGATGGACACAACAACTTTACTTTATTTATTTATCTTCTTACATGATGCTGAGGATGGAACCCAGTGTCCCACTCATGCTAGGCAAGTGCTCCATCACTGAGCCACAACCCCAGCCCATTAAGGTTTAGTTTTATCTGAATCGTTTGACATATTCTTAGTCTTTTTTTTTTTTTAACTGAGTTCTCTGATTTTCTTTCTACTAACTTTTTATATGTCTTATTGTATTCTGGAAATTTATCTTTTATCAGTTAGATGCATTATTGTTGTTCATGTGAATGTGTATTTTATGGTCTAGGGTTCAATTCCAGGTGGGCAAGTACTCTACCCCTGAGCTAGATCCCCAGCCTTCCATATATTTTTGAAAAATGCTAAACTAAAATATAAAAGTGAGTTACATGTATTTGAGTTACACAGAATAAACTAGGTCAGGGGGCAGAGAAAATATTGCACATCAAGTGTGTGGAGGCCTGGGGACTGGCTTTTGTTTATAGATCTGTTCTCTTGTAACTCAGGTAAATAATGTGAAGCAACTTGAAGTTGCATTCTTATCGCTGACTCTTCTAAAGAAGAATATGTTTAGAAAGTCTGTCCTCTGTCCCTAATGTATTTCATTCAGACTTAATAAAAAACTTGTTCTTCTCTCCTACTTGTAGATGTTTTAAAAAATTGATATATTTCTAAATAATGAAACTTTTGCACTACTAGGTATTGTTCAGTACTTGGATTGAATAATCTACTCTGAGTAGTACTGCAATGTCCATAAAGTAAGAGGGTAATTCATCAGGAACACTATCTTTGTCCACCCTCTAATACTAATTAAAGATGAAGAAAGGTTATAACTGACTCCTGAAAAAGATAGCCTAATTGATCATTGAAGAATTTATTATTCTAAATCTTAAAATGATTAGATGTTAGCTTTGCATGTGGGGCAACAACCCCTCTCTCTCCAAGAAAACCCCAAACCTAAAATCACAAAATGTCAACCCTATTAGGAAACTAAAAAAATTTCCCACTCCTTTATTTTAAAAAAAGGCACCCATGATGGAGCTGGTCCAAGTCCTCTGTCCCTTTTCCTCCAGTGCATCATGCTGCCATTTCATAGGGAAAAAAAAGAAAGAAATTTTCCAATTCTTTCTATTGATGCATATATCAGATCAGTCTCCAGGGGCTTGATAATACAGGGCTCTCAGTTCTGCTCATTGATTTCCTGGTAAACTGGAAAATGAGAAAATCAAAGGGGATCTCATTTCAGGGATTTAATATCTTCATCTCCACTTCAAAAGGAAAGATTTTTCTTTGTAGCATAATGTAGGGAGTAAATTCCTCTGTGACACACCCCAGAGGAACAAAGGGGTAGTCATGTTAGGTACTGTGTACATAGTGACTCTTTCTTCTTTGAAGGTCTTCTCACTTATATTCATATTGAATCCTTAGAACTGGATGGCAGTAGTCATTTTTTAATTTACAAAAAACTAATGCTGCTTTTAAAATCTTTGAATTGTGTTCTTTTTTTGGGGGGAGGGTAATGACCAGAGATTGAACTCAGGGGAGGGGGCAGTCGGCCACTGAGCCACTGCCCAGCCCTATTTTGTATTTTATTTAGAGACCGGGTCTCACTGAGTTGCTTAGGGCCTCATTTTTGCTGAGGCTGGCTTTGAACTCAGGATCCTCCTTTCTCAGCCCCTGGAGCCACTGGGACTACAGGTGTGCGCCACTGCACCCAGCTGAATTGTGTTCTTTATGGAAAATACAATATCACTGTGGAGAAGAGAACCTAATGCCATTGCCCAAAGATAGCCACTTAATGTTTTTTTTTTTTTTTTCTTGGTGCTTTTCCTATGTTTATATGTTTCATGGGGTTAAACTATAGTTTAAGATTCCACTTCTTTTCACTTAGCATAAGAAGATTTATTAATAGCTGCATTAGATATCATTGCCTGGATTGATTATAATGAAGAGTACCATAAAGGACACTCTTTCCTACATTTCTTATGATTAATTCCTAGAATTAGAATTACTGATCATCAGCAAAACTATTTTTAGTTTTTCATGACAAGCCAACTTTGAAACTAGTTGCTAATAGTTTTATACTCATGTGGAATATATGTGTACCTGTATCATTTGACATTGAACTTCATCATGAAACAAAACATATTGCTGATTTGGTAATGTAAATCAGTCAGTTGCTGTCTAATTCAAATGTCTTTCAAAGAGTTTTGATTTATTTATTCGTGATTTATGTTGCTTCTATTAAATCAGTTCATGAACTTTGCTTACTTTTCTGCAGGATCCTGGGCTTTTCTTATTAAATACTTTTTATATATTAAAAACATCTATCTTTGCCATTTGTGGTAAACACCTTTTGCCATTTTACTTGGTTTTTGGCTTTATGGCTTTTATCGGGGAGACATAAGTCTTTGTTTTTACACTGTTCAGATCTTTATCTGAGCAGACTATTTCTGTGAGTTCTTTTGCCAATCGTGTAGAGAGGAAGATCAAGAGGCGAGGGTTATGGAGAACAAAAATTCCTCCATAGTTAATTGAAGTCATTGGGTAAGGACCATTTCATGCAGATACTGATTTCACCTCTCTTTCCACTGCAATCGCTGGTCTCATTTTTGCAATCTTCATGTCACCCATTAAACTTGTTTTCCTTATTCTATACAGTTAACATTGCCTCTTTGGTTGGTTGTTCTTCTGTCCTACGGCATTTTCTCATATCCTGATGCTTTCTTTTAAGGTATTATCCAAAGAGATGAGTCACCCATGGAAAAAGGGCTCTCTGGTCTGCGAGGAAGGGACTTTGAGCTGTCTGACGTGTTTTATTTCTCCAAGAAGGGATTGGAAGCCATTGTAGAAGATGAAGTGACCCAGAGGTTCTCCTCAGAGGAGCTAGTGTCATGGAATCTCCTCACAAGAACCAATATAAATTTCCAGTACATCAGTCCTCGGCTCACTATGGTGTGGGTGTTGGGCGTCATAGTACGCTATTGTGTCCTACTACCTCTGAGGTAAGTCACGTGCCTGATAATTTATTGATATAATGAGTTCACCTTTCTATTTTCATCACTTATGAATATTGTGGTACTAATTCCACCTCTTCCCGCTTAGAAACGCCACAGAATGTGGCCTCTGCACATTTTTTTCTCTAGATGAAGGTGTGTGTTCAGAATTCAATATGTAGCTTACAATCTGGATCCACTTTGTTTTTGCAGTCATAGATAATTTGAGGCTGGCTAGAAAAGGGAAGGTGGGAAGTTAGAATGAAGAGAGATGATTTGTAGTTCAATATTTACCAGAGTGTCAACCAAAATATAACATTTACCCAGAGCCACTGCCTTTCTTTGCTAGTCTGTAGTACTTCAAAGCTACCTAGGAAAGAAAAAAGTCAAGAGTGGTTATCACAGAGCCATTGGGAAGAGTTGAGTCCATTCATCCAATTCCATTATGATCATTCATTTCCCTTATTGGCAATTTCCCTACCTGGATACCCTTCTGCTTCTAGGCTTGAGTTCTTCCCGATGAGGAGGTAACCTCAAGCCTGCTTACTGGATTCACAGTGTGGAACACAAGTGTAGAAGACCCTGGGCAGTGGGGTGAAGCAGCAGTGGCCAAGAATCTGTTTAGCATGATGATGGCAAGAGTAGGCATGCCCACAGCCTTGCAGCTGATGGTCTTGCTTCATTTTCTGGGACATGGCCTTGGCATCCTCTCAACAGAGCTTTCCAGGCAGTTGCTGTCAGCCAACTAACATTGGCACAAGAGTTGAAACCTCTTTACCATCCCTAGGGTGGCTTATACTTGCCTCATTCAGATTTATTACAGCGGAAGGCTTGCTTAAGTATAGACAAGTGCTGATCTCCAAGAAGTTCTTTCTGTTTTCTTTTGTTCATATTCTCAGTGTCTCAACACTGGAGCACAGTAGTCTTTGGGAATCACTTCAGCTGTAATAACAAAGTGAACTTCAGGGATTTGCAGACACTTTTCATTTTGGTGGTACTAGGGATTGAACACAGGAGTGCTACACTGAACCACTGAGTCCACATCCTTGGCCTTTTTAATTTTTTGAGACAGAGTACCTAAGTTGCTTAGGTCCTCACTAAATTGCTGGAACTTGCAATCCTCCTGCCTCAACCTCCCTAGTCACTGGGATTACAAGTGTGCACCATAATGCTTGACTTGTCACATACAAGTATGCTTAAACCTTTTTTTAAATTTTTTTTTTTTGCAGGGGGGTACCAGGGAATGAACTAGGGGCACTCGACCACTCAATCATATCCCCAGCCCTATTTTGTATTTTATTTAGAGACAGGGTCTCACTGAGTTGCTTAGGACCTCACTTTTGCTGAGGCTGTCTTTGAACTTGTGATCCTCCTGCCTCAGCCTCCCAAGCTGCCAGGATTACAGGTGTGTGCCACCGTGCCCAGCCAATTTTGCTTAAAACTTAAGCTAGTGCTTCCTGTGAGGGGTTCATGTGCTCTGAGAATGCACATGACAATTCATTGTCACACAGGAAGGAAACACTAGAATTTTTGTTAGACGCTTCCATTCTTTTTATAATTAGAACTACCATTTTATTCTTAAAGAAGTGAAAGTTCAGTGAAGTTTAATATATGAATTAGTTCTTGCATATTCTGGTTCATAGATCAGGCAGTGTATCTGAGGTAACCTTGGGGAAGGGTGAGAAATTTTATAACATGGAGTGCTTAAGATGCCTCATTTGTTGTTGGTTAGACTTCACTATGCTGTGAAGGCCCAGCAAATGTGGTTATGATTCTGTTATCTAGTTTAGACTAAACTAGTGCTCACAAAAGAGATGATTGACATGAAAACTTTTGTAAATAAACCACAGATTTTAGATAGTCCTATAATGTAAATATACAGGAACAAAAGGAAAATGGCAGAATTGGTACCTACTCTGAGTACAAATCATTGTAAATGATTTGTAGAAGAAGCAAATGTGACAAATTGAGCATTTAAAAAAACAGATTATACTAAAATTAATTGTGACGGTTGCACAACTCTGACTATGCCCCAAATTGTTGAATTGGATACTTAAAAGTGTGAATCATATGTATGTGATCTGTATCTCAATAAAGCTCTTAAACAGATTGTAACTGAAAATTTGTGTCTGATCTCACTGGAAGATAACTTATCTGAATTTATCCAGGAGAATGCTCATGTTGGCTTACGTTAGGAATTTTCTGGCTTGTTAATCTAGGAAAAAAATAATTCAGTTTCAATTATTTTGAACTCAATTGCTAGACAACATTATAATGCAACCCTTTCTGATTTAATATGTAAAAAGGAGTGATTCTTATTAGGGAAAGATGAAAAACATTATTTGAAAAGTTTTACATAATTAAACAATGGTTTCATTACTGTGTTAGTGACTAACATGAAAATATGGCATCTGGTTATGACCTTCAAACTGTTATGTCAAAAGATGTTAAACCATGACTTCAGAAGATTTAACACCTTAACGAGTTATAGCTTAACATTCAAAAAGGTTATAGGTTAACACTCAAAATATAATTGATAACATTTATTATTTATAATTAATATTTTGAGTGAGAGAAAAACATTTTCTACATTAATATTTATATATAATTTTTAAATACTATGTTTAAAAAAAATAAAAATATCTCTAAACTGGGCTTGGTGGCACACACCTGTAGCATCAGTGACCAGATGGGCTGAGGTAGGAGGATCTCAAGTTCAAAGCTAGCTAAGGCAACTTGTTGAGACACTGACTGAAAATAAAATTTTAAAAAATTTATATATTTTTTTACATTCTTCATATTTGCAGGTATTTTATAATGGCATTGATGTCAGTACAGTGGAATATATTGTCATTCTTAAATATACTAGGGGTACATGCTCAGATGTGTTGATAGAGTGTTTCCCCAACCAGGTTGATATTACTGCCTTAAGCTAAATTTCTATATTAAATAATCCTAAACTGATTTGTTAAATAATAAAAATGATAAGCTAGTGAGAGACAGTAACATAATTATTAGGAGCATGAATTATGGAGCCAAACTGCTGGGTTTGAAATTCTGGCTTTGCTGTCCATTGGCTCTATAACGTTAGGTAAGTTATTTAACCTTTCTTTGTCTCAGTTTCTTCATCTGTTGAATAGAGATGTTGATAATGTTATTGCCTCATGGAGTTTTTGGGATGGATAAATGTGTTAAGTACTTAGAATATTGCCTGGCACATAGTGTTAGCTGTTATTTTATCATCATCTAATGTAAGATCTGAGATGGGTTAAGATAAACTATTTTGTGCTCTCAACATCTGGTCAGGAGGTATAGATATATACAAATAAGGAGCAAACCACCTTGACACTGGAGAGATTTGCTATTGCTGACCCTGGACCTCAGGTAGCTCCCAGACCCACAGGGTCCTTCTGACTGCAATGGCGTTTCCTTCCATCAGGTTATTGATACCTTATATATTCAGCAAAACATGGGAAGGCTCTCTTGAGAACTAGAAGATACAAACAGACCTCTGGTTCGATTTGAGAGGCCAGTGAGATAATCTAAAGTTCCTGCTTTCTCATCTGACAAAGTAAAATGGTTTAAGGAATCTTATTAATAAAATACCATTAAGCTATTGATTCTTACTTTTAATCTAAATCCTATTTGCTTTAGAAGGATTTTAAATCTCAACCTCATCTTTTTGAGTAATTCTATTTGCATTTCTAGAAATAACTATTTCCTTTGTTAAAGTGATCAGAATGTACATAACAAGCACTTTTCAAAAATGAGAAAATGTCTACATGGAGATTAGAGGTATTATCAGTCACCTTGTTTTCTAATTCTAAGTCATCTTGAGCCATGCAAAGGGACAATAGTTAGCTTTGCATTAAAAGATTCCTACCTAGTGGCATGTTTTGGTGTTAGTATGAGAAAGGCTTCATAACTATCTTAGCCCTTTAATGATTACATAGATTGAACTTTAGTTTTGTTAAGAAATTTTCAGGCCCCCCCTCTCTCTATATATATAAAAGCTAATTTTCTATTAAATAATACTAAATATATATATATATATATATATATAGAGAGAGAGAGAGAGAGAGAGAAAGACTAGTTACACATATATGCTTATTACTTTGAAAGTGGTATCATATGCCACACAATTATTTCAAAACTTTGCTCTTCTCCATTCAAAATGTATCACACAACACTCAATAGAATCATGTCATAATCTTTAGCTTTATCAACTTTTTTTTGGTACTGGGGATTGAGCCCAGGGGCACATCACCACTGAACTGTATCCCCATTCCTTTTTATTTTTTTTATTTTGAGACAAGACCTCAGTAAATTGCTGAGGTTGGCCTCAAACTTGCAACCCTTCCACCTCAGCCTCCCAAGTGACTGGGATTGCTGGTGTGCAACACCATGCCCGGCCTGATATATCATATTCCATAATGAGGATGCTGTACAATTCATTTACACTTTATTTATGAATCTTTAGATTATTTCCCCTTAGGTTATTTACCTACTATTTGACAAATTTTGCATTAATTTTTCTTTTATTTTCTTTTTCAGGGTTACTCTGGCTTTTATTGGGATCAGTTTGCTGGTTATAGGAACTACACTGGTTGGGCAGTTGCCAGACGGCAGGTGAAATGTTTCCTTCCATCCAGTCATAAAATAAAACTCTCCCTTTTCCTAGCTGTGTCTACAAAGACAGTGTTTGCTTAGTGCCTACATATTGCATTGAATTCATCATATCAACCCACTTTTTAGAATTCTGCTCACTTCATCTTCATACTCATTCTTTGATTTTTTTCCCATTGTGCTTCCATATAAATCAAAAGAAGTTTCTTCAAAGGAGAGAGGGAACTATTTTCTATTGGGGTTTCTATCTATTTTCTTGGTAAACTTTTGCCATCTAATACCAGATGTATCAATGAGATTGTAAGAATTGTACTGTGCTTTTTCAATGGAATAGAACACAGGATGCTGTTGTGAATGAGCACATTAAAGATTTTCTTGTATTGTTTCTTAGGAAAGCCCATTACTGCACAATAAAATGATTTTTATTCTTTCAGACTCAAAAACTGGCTGAGTGAACTGGTACATCTGACTTGCTGTCGGATCTGCGTGAGATCTCTCTCTGGCACCATCCATTATCATAACAAGTGAGTGTCCTAACTGTGCAGTTAGGAAGTTCAGACCAGGCCCTGTGCTTCTCACAGGTCAACGCTATGGGATGGGCATGTTACCCCATTTTACATGGAAGAAATGGGAGCTCTGAGACTGGTTGTGTATATATAATAAGTTTATTATATAATAAGTTTCCAGTTTTGAGCCAGTTCTGATTTAGAAAATGAAATTCACAGGCTTATGATGTTGTTGGAATCCAGGGGGTCCCTTTTTGGTTTTAGTTTTGCCACTTCTAAAATTCCATAACTGATCCTTAAAAGAAAATACTACATTCTCCTTCCCTCACCCCCAAACAAAGAGTATAAAGGTAGCTAAGGAAGGCTATTAGCTAAATGATAATTATTCTAATTGCTTTTAAATTATATTTCTGTGAATTCAATTTTAGTTAATTAAAAAATCATTGTTTTAAAAGTTTTAGAGCAAACATCTCTTTTTGGCTGACGGTGTCTTTCTGACTCATTTGTAGAAGGGAAACATTCAGAAAACCAATTGATTTTTACCATGTGTTACCAACATAAAGGCCCCTTAAAATTTTTTAAATTATGTGATTTATCTATTGGGCTATGAGTTTTATGGTAAGAAATAGAAGAAAATCTCGGACAGAAGTATGATCAGAGGAGACATCTTCTACAGAAAACGTGCTTTAATGACATAGATAGGTGATCCTAACTTATTATAGAAGTGCTCCTAATTTTAAGGAAAATCTGCTAAAGTCATTATGTGTTTGTTTCCCTCTTCTATGAATAAGCCTGACAAAAATACTTTACTTTATTGGTGTCAACTCTCATTTAACTCTAGGGCAGAGATAGGCAAACAAAAGTATGGGCCTACAGGCCATATCTGACACTCTTTCTGTCTTTTGTAAATAAAGCTTTATTGGAACCCAGACATGCTCATTTATTTGCATATTATCTTATGTGGCCTTTGTGCCACAACAGTAGAGCTGAGTAATTGTGGCAGGGATTGTTTGGCCTGTGCAATCTGAAGTATTTACTCTTTGTCTCTTATCAAAAAAGTTTGCTGACCTCTGCTGTAGTGGGAGAAGAGGGAGGAAGCCATGGTAAAGATTTACTCTCTGAATCACCATGAAGCCAGTAAAAGTGGTATTTATGAAGATCAAAATCATATGAAAATACTTTCAATTAAGTAAGCAAAAATTTAGGAATTATAAAGGGAAAGTCATAGGCCTCCTTACCCTATTTCCTATAAATAACCTTTTAAGATAGTCTCCTGTACCTCCAAATATACTTTAAAAAATGAGCCTCTCCATGCTTTTCTGCAAAACAATGGCTGTTTTCTGAGGGTTAGTACTTACCATTGTTTGTAATTGCAGGCAGTACAGACCCCAGAAGGGAGGCATTTGCGTTGCCAACCACACCTCTCCAATAGATGTTTTGATCTTGACCACAGATGGATGTTATGCTATGGTAAGAGCAGTCCATTGGTAATTCTGGTGGTTGTGTATTTTATGATTTGCTCAAATTTGTTATCCTTTTTGATAAATTTGAAAATTAGTCTCTTATTAGAAATTTGGGTTATATTATTGCAGTTGTATAAAGCATTCTAGATTTACATGAGGAAGAGATGGTGCAAGAAAAAGAAAATAGACTGGACATAGTGGTGTCCACTTGTAATCCCAGTGATTTGGGGAGGTTGAGGAGGATCACAAGGTTGAGGCCAGCCTCAGCAACTCAATGAGACCCTGTGTCAAAATAAACAATAAAAGGAGCTGGGGATGTATCTCAGTGGTAAAGCACCCCAGGGTTCAATCCCCTGAAGAAAGAAATGAAAGAAAGGGAGGGAAGGAGGAAGGAAGGAAGGAAAGAAGGAGAATAGCCATTAATATTTAAAGTAGTGAATAATTAACTTACTGAAATGTAGACATACTTCAACTTGGTAGGACTTGGTAAAGTTGATTCCATTTTGCTTCTAAAATCCCTGCCAATATTTAATAACACTTTGCAACATTAGAGTCTTCCTTCTTCGAGTTGTACAAATCCCCTAGACTGTCAATTAGTTCTTTCTTCCTTCAGGGATGTATATGCAATTTAAAAAAATCTGACTCTTTAATGAGGCTCTAGCAAGAAAGGCAAATATTTATACTATGCCATCTTTCTCAGATCTTATCCACAGACTCAAAAGAAAAGAAAGGTAAAGAAAACAGAACAACCCTACTAACAAACCACAAAGCACATAGTAAAACCAAGCTTTAAAATACCCTTTCATGGGGATGCACAAAACCACATTCTGGCATTTTTTTTCAAATATTTGTTTTCTATTGCCATGAAATATTTGTTGAGAGTTCCTGCATCTCTTTTACGTGTCAGATGAATTCTAGACAATAATGGAAGATGTACTTTTCTTCATGGTAGTTAACCATGACCTGAGGTGGAGTGTGGAACAGAATGCTTGCACAAAGGTCCTGGCGGATCTGTTCATATTCTCTTGCTGGTGGGTTGGACTTCAGAGAGAGCAGGTGGGTTATATTTCACCAATGTTATCACATGGTAGAAGTGGAAGAGCCAAGATGTAACAGACTGCTCTTGAGAGCCCTTTTTATAATGGCATTAATTTATTTTATTATTTATTTTATCTAGACACTCCCATTTAAGCCCCATCTCTTAATACAGTCACATTGGCAATTAAATTTCCAATATTGATTTCTGGGAGACATATCACACTAGCACTGCTTAATCATAATTTTGTGTTTCTGAGACTATATTTCTTCTATTTCCTGATCAACAAAGTTGAGAATAATGCATTCATGACTCAGGGCCTCAGAATTTTGTTGGTACCATCCATACTTTTTGATCATAAATAACTGTAATTCCATTAATAGCCAAGGTTTAAAAACGCCTTATAACTACAGGGTACACACCTGTGATCTCAGCATCTTGGGAGGCTAAGACAGGAGGATTGAAAGTTTGAGGCAAACCTCAGCAATTTAGTGAAATGCTGTCTCAAAATAAAAAAACAAAAAGGGCTGGAGATATATGTAACTCAGTGGTAGAGCATCCCCTGGGTTTAATCCTCAGTACTGGGGTTGGGGGTGAGGTTTAAGCAAAGCAAAGATTTGCAACTGCAAATTGTCTAGGGGGTCAAGTGATAGAAATATAAGACCAATGGTACTTAATTGGAGGTAGTACAAGGCAGAAGTTGAAGGAAATGGTATTGCTGACCTGAGGAAGTCATAACTGGCTAAATAAACTACTTATCAGAGCACCATTAAAGATTTTTCTCTCAATGATTTATTGTTTTTTAAATTAACTTATTTATTTATTTATTTACTTTTTTGGTACCAGGGATTGAACTCAGGGACACTCGACCACTGAGCCACATCCCCAGACTTATTTTGTACTTTATTTAGAGACAGGGTCTTGCCGAGTTGCTTAGGGCCTTGCTTTTTGCTGAGGCTGGTTTTGAACTTGCGATCTTCCTGCCTTAGCCTCCTGAGTCGCTGGGATTACAGGCGTGTGCCACTGAGTCTGGACTAAATTAACTTATTTTAATTGACAAAAACTATATAAATTTATTGTGTACAGAATGATGTTTGGTACGCATATACTTTGGAATCTTTAAATCAACCTAATTAACATATCCATTATTTCACTCAATGACTTTTCTAAACTATTTTTCCTTCTAAAAAAATTATAAATATTTTTAAGCATACAGAAAAGTTGTTATAATAAAGGATATTACATATACCTTTTATATACATTTACATATTCATATTCGTAATGCCTCATTTACTTTATCACTTGAGTTCTTGTGTTCTAGCCCTCTCACTGTAAGGTGAAAAATATTTGTCTTTTTTCCTAATTGATTTTTAGTTGTTGATAGATCTTTATTTATTTATTTATATGTGGTGCTGAGAATTGAATCCAGTGCCTCACACATGCCAGGCAAGTGCGCTACCACTGAGCCCCAGCCCCAGCCCCTTGTCTTGATTTAATATCATAGAAATTTTTTTCATTTTTTTATGGCATTTGCTGGTAAATGGATGGGACTGAAGAGTGTCATGCTAAGTAAAATAAGCCAATCTCCCAAAAACCAAAGGCTGAATGTTCTGTTTGATATGAGGATGCTAACACACAATGAGAGGGTATGGGGAAGAATAGAAGTACTTTGGATTAAGGAGAATGAAAGGATGGGAAAGGGGATGACAATAGGAAAGACAATAGAATGAATCAGACATAACTCTCCTGTGTTCATATAGAGTATACGACCAGTGTTAACTGTACATCATGTACAACCACAAGAATGGGAAGTTATACTCCATGCATGTACAATGTGTCAAAATACATTCTACTGTCATGTATAACTAAAAAGAACAAATAATTTTTTTAAAAATTTTCACTTTTTAAAATAGAAGACAGTTTTTGTTTGTTTTTTGATTTTTTTTCAGTGCTAGGGTTTGAACCCAGGGCCTCCTGTGTGCTAGGCAAGTGCCTACCACTGAGCCACAGCTCCCCCCAGTCCTACTTTTGATTTGATTTTTAGTTGTAGATGGACACAATACCTTTATTTTATTTGTTTATTTATTTATTTTTTATGTAGTGCCGGGGATTGAACCAAATGCCTCATGCATTGTAGGCAGATGCTTTACCACTGAGCCACAACCCTGGCCCCAAGTCCTGCTTTTTATTAATTTATTTTTTATTTTTGAGACAAGGTCTTACCAAGTTGCCCAGGATGGCCTTTCCATCTTCTTGCCTCAGCTTCCCAAAGAGCTAGAGTGACGAGTATGTGCTCCTGTGCCTTGCACAAATATATTTATATTTAATATTTGTTTCTAAATTTAAATTGGAAATCTGAGTCTATACCAATACATTTAGTTTATATGGTTCTATCTTGCTTTCCCTTTTTTTAATAGTGAAAACTCTAATTCCTTACAAAATCAACATATTTACTCATTTTCATAATCTTGTAATCCATTTAAAATAGTTTCAGAATTGCTTTATCTGTTTTACTACAATAAACCAAAAAATAAATAAATAAAATAAAGAAGAAGAAGAAGAAGAGTTTAGGATGTTTTGCATTTCTTTCTATGCCTTCCAAGATGGAGGGTACAAAGATACAATCTTTGCAAGTGTCTTGGATTGTTCCTCTTCCTTCAGTGCTGTTCTTTCATTCATTTGACACATTATTGAGTTAATTTCCTTCAACTTGCTTTCAGTTTGTTATCCCAATCCTTACTGGTTTATTTTTTATTTTTTTTGGAACATGTAGGCTATTAACATGCCTCCATAAAAAAAGGTATACTCAGAGACATGTCACCCCCTCCATGTCATCTCTCCCATTCCTTCCTTCCTCCCCCACACCCTGCCCCAACTTAATTTATTTGTATAGTTTGAAAATAATGCATTCACATGTTTGGAAAATCAGAAAATGTAGAAAGATTTTATTAACTTGTTCATACTATGCCTCCATATACCTAGTTTCTGTCAAAACCAGTAACAACTCTTCCAGTTTCTTCTTATTCTTACAGAATGATGATGGTGATACATCATACTACTTATATTATTATATTCCATTTTAAATTCTGTTATTTCACATTGCTTTTCTTTCATTAATTTAAATCCCTGGACTCCTTTCTTCCTTTTAAGTTCCCAATTTCATTGGTTTTGGTTATCCTTTCTGTATTTCTTTTTGTCGAGATAAGTAAAAGCATATGTATCATTTCCTCTTTGGTCTTAGTCCAAAGGTTACTTACTTGTTCTTTTGCTTTTTCACTTATCTCTTGGAAATCACTTTTTATCAGTTATAGAGATCAACTTTGCTGTTTTTCTACTGTATGTATAGACCATTGTTTATTCATCAATTTCCTATATTTAGATAGTTTCCAATGTTTTAAAATAATAAGTAATACTGTGATTAATTGTATATGTATTTTCTTTTTCTTTTTTCCCTTTTTTAAAAATTTTTTTGGTGGTGCTGGGGATTATAGCCACGGCCTTGTGCATGTAAGACAAACCCTCTACCAATTGAGCTGTATCACCAGTCCTTTTTCCATATTTTTATTAGTGCATTAAAGTTGTACATAATGGTGGGATTTATTGTTACATACTTATACATGCACATAAAATAATAAAATAATTTGGTCAGTATCATTCCCCAGTATTCCCTCTTGCCTGCCCCAGTCCTTTTCTTCTTTCTAACTGATTTCCCTTTATTTTTCATGAGATTTCCCAGGCCACAAACTTTTCTTACCCTTTTTCCTCTTTAATCTCCACATATGAGAGAAAACATACAACACTTAACCTTCTAAGTTTGGCTTATTTTGCTTAATGTAATGTTCTCAAGTTCCATTTATTTTCCTCCAAATGACATAATTTCTTTTCTTTTTATTTTTTCTTTTTTGGTACTGGGGATTGAACCACTGAGCCACATCCCAAGCCCTTTTTCATATTTAATTTAGAGACAGGGTCTCACTGAGTTGCTTAGTGCCTGGCTCAATTGCTGAGCCTGGCTTTGAACTTGCAATCCTTCTGCCTCAGCCTCCTGAGTCGCTGGGATTACAGGTGCGCACCATCACGCCTGGCATAATTTCATTCTTTTTGACAGAATAAAACCTAATTGTATATATGTGCCGCATATTCTTTATCCATTCCTCTATTGATAGACATAGGCTGGTTCCATAGTTTGGTAATTGTGAACTATGCTGCTGTCAACATGGGTAGTGCATATGTGTTTTCATTTATTTGAATGTGTATCTTCAGGTTGAATTCCTAGAAGAGGAATTATTAACACGAAGGATAAATGAATATGTGATCTCAGTAGATGTTGCCACATTTCTTCCATTGGTGCTATAATCCTCTCTCCTTTCCCTGGGCAGTGTGAGTGCCTGTTTCCCATAGCCTTGCATCAGAGTGAACTGTTAAGCTGTTAAATCTTTGTCAGTTTGAGGGGCTTAAAATGGTATTTCAGAAAAGTTTTAATTTGTATTTCTCTAACTTTGACTAAGTTGAAGCACCTCTGTTTTTGAAAACTAGAGAATATCTAGGGTGTAGCAACATGACTTATAATTAAAAGCTGCTAATAAAGAAAGCTACAACTATCTTATATTTGATAAAGGAGCTAAAAGCATGCAATGGAGGGAGGATAGCATCTTCAACAAATGGTGCTGGGAAAACTGGAAATCCATATGCAACAAAATGAAACTGAATCCCCTCCTCTCGCCATGCACAAAAGTTAACTCAAAGTGGATCAAGGAGCTAGATATCAAATCAGAGACTCTGCGTCTGATAGAAGAAAAAGTTGGCGCCGATCTACATATTGTAGGGTCGGGCTCCAAATTCCTTAATAGGACACCCATAGCACAAAAGTTGATAACAAGAATCAACAAATGGGACTTACTTAAACTGAAAAGTTTTCTCTCAGCAAGAGAAACAATAAAAGAGGTAAATAGGGAGCCTACATCATGGGAACAAATTTTTACTCCTCACACTTCAGATAGAGCCCTAATATCCAGAGTATACAAAGAACTCAAAAAATTAAACAATAAGAAAACAAATAACCCAATCAACAAATGGGCCAAAGACCTGAACAGACACTTCTCAGAGGAGGACATACAATCGATCAACAAGTACATGAAAAAATGCTCACCATCTCTAGCAGTCAGAGAAATGCAAATCAAAACCACCCTAAGATACCATCTCACTCCAGTAAGATTGGCAGCCATTATGAAGTCAAACAACAACAAGTGCTGGCGAGGATGTGGGGAAAAGGGTACTCTTGTACATTGCTGGTGGGACTGCAAACTGGTGCGGCCAATCTGGAAAGCAGTATGGAGATTCCTGGGAAAGCTGGGAATGGAACCACCATTTGACCCAGCTATTGCCCTTCTCGGACTATTCCCTGAAGACCTTAAAAGAGCGTACTACAGGGATACTGCTACATCGATGTTCATAGCAGCACAATTCACAATAGCTAGACTGTGGAACCAACCCAGATGCCCTTCAATAGATGAATGGATAAAAAAAATGTGGCATTTATACACCATGGAGTATTACGCAGCACTAAAAAATGACAAAATCATAGAATTTGCAGGGAAATGGATGGCACTAGAGCAGATTATGCTTAGTGAAGCTAGCCAATCCCTAAAAAACAAATACCAAATGTCTTCTTTGATATAATGAGAGCAACTAAGAACAGAGCAGGGAGGAAGAGCAGGAAGAAAAGATTAACATTAAACAGATACATGAGGTGGGATGGAAAGGGAGAGAAAAGGGAAATTGCATGGTAATGGAGGGAGACCCTCATTGTTATACAAAATTACATATAAGAGGTTGTGAGGGGAATGGGAAAATAAACAAGGAGAGAAATGAATTACAGTGGATGGGGTAGAGAGAGAAGATGGGAGGGGAGGGAGGGGGGATAGTAGAGGATAGGAAAGGTAGCAGAATACAACAGTTACTAATAGGGCATTATGTAAAAATGTGGATGTGTAACCGATGTGATTCTGCAATCTGTATTTGGGGTAAAATTGGGAGTTCATAACCAACTTGAATCTAATGTATGAAATATGATATGTCAATAGCTTTATAATGTTTTGAACAACCAGTAAAAAAAATAAATTTAAAAAAAAAAGAATATTTTTGCTTACATATGGCCTTACAAATGCTTTGATCACACTAAAAATTTCAGTCAGTAGAAGGCAACTAATCTTGCCTCTGAGCAGGAAATAGAAATGTATTGGTAGTTAACTAAATAAATAAGTAAATAAAGCTTTCTTTGGAGAGCTTTGACTTTATTATTATTTTTTTTCTCATGGCACTTCTAGGTTGGCCAGGTTCATGGTGGACTGATGGGAATTATTCAGAGAGCTATGGTAAAGGCTTGTCCACATGTCTGGTTTGAACGCTCAGAAATGAAGGATCGACACCTGGTTACTAAGAGGTAAGTAGTGAGATGACTCAGTATGCATTTGGGTAGCATAAAACAGATGAATTTGGGTCTTTTGGCCAAAGAAGACAGAGCTATGGGTCAAAACTAAAACACATAGAGCCCTATTTGAGTTTTTTTTTTTTTTTTTTCCTGGTGAGTTACTTACCATGATTAAAAAAAAAAAAATTCTGAAGACACGATGAGATATAGGATGGTATTAGAAAGCTCTTATGTCTATTTTGCCATGACTTAGGTATAGTCACTATACTGATGTTGACAACAGTCCAGTTACTGAATTTTTGAAAATTCAAAATTACTTCCTTGAAATTAAAATAATTGATCCCTATTTGCTGAATAAACAGATAATTGATTGTTAGCTGAATGACTGCTAGGACTTAAATCCAGCTATAGAAGGAGCTAATGATCTTTTGTTAATTCATTATGGCAAAACCCCTGAGATAATCAACTTAATAAAGAAAAGGTTTATTTTGGTTCATGGTTTCTGAGGTTTCTGGCCTTGTTGCTTTGGGTCTGTGGCAGCACAGTAGATCATGGCAGAAGCACATGGCGGAAGAAACCTGTTCACTTCATGGCAACTGGGAATCAAAAGGGAGTGGAGAGTCCAGGGTCCCAGTATCTCTTTCAAGAGCGGGACCCCAGTGACCTAACTTCCTCCTGCTAAGTCCCACCTCCTAAAAGTTCCTCTACCCAATAGTGCCACAGACTGGCAACCGACTTTCATATGTGGGCCTTTGGGGGCACTTATCCAAACTACAGAAGATCGTTATGGAAAGGCAGAAGAAAGAATCTCTGGGGTTAGGGCTGGAAAGGAGCTACCAGAAACTTTGGCTGGGAAACAGCTTTTTGCCCAAGGGTTTTAACTGAAGGCTTTCTGGTCATTGCTCCCATAAACACAAAGGTGGCCCATGCTCTTAAATGAAAAGTACTTGTTGAAATCTGCTTCAGGTTGGAAAGTGTTCCCTATCTTGAGATTATTTAGCAATGGGACTCTCTGGCAGCTGGATCTCTGTACCTCAGCCTTTCCCAACTTCTGATGAGCAGAGTTGGGAATACAGGGCCAACTGCAAGGAGGACAGGCTTTAAGCCTGGAAGGATGTCAATCTCTCTCAGCTTTATGGTATGAATTTCATAGAAAAGTTCAGCCTGACTCATTTAAGGAGTCTCTTGCTTAAGAGCCATAATGTAGATAGTTATCAATATTTCCATTTTCAGATGAAGAAATGTAAGTACATGGAGAGCAACAGAAAGCTATGACATAGTGACCCCCTGTCACATGACTGTCTAGAGTTCACTACCTTCCCACCCCCTGCCACACTGGGGATTGAACCCAGGACCTAACACTTGCTAGGCAAGTGCTCTACCTCTAAGCTACCTCCCCAGCCCCTAGAGTTGCTTTTTAATAGTGGGCAAAAGGCATTGAAAATCATTCACTTTGAAATTAGAGAAATTGAAATAGTGTAGATCTTCATACACTTTTAAAGAAAGGGAACAACTTGAGTTTGTTTCCTTTCCTAATTTCTTATTTCCCTTCTCCTCTTTGCTTTACATTTTTTTTTCACACTAATAGAGTGTGAAGAATACCAAAAAGGACTCCGTTTTTAAAGACAGAATTTTGATTCCTTGTTTTTCTCTGCAGACTAAAAGAACACATTGCTGATAAGAAAAAACTACCCATATTAATCTTTCCTGAAGGTAAGAGCAGAGACTGCCTGCCAAACTATCATTGATAACAACAAACGATCAGGAGTGTGAGGAATAGTTACTCTGGGATTGGCGTTCTCAGTCTAGGATGGGATAACCTTTGGAGCTATTCATTTTCTGCTTTCTTTTGAGTTGATAGGAGTCATGCTACTTTTTTTTTTACTTTATTGTATTTATATTTTGTGCTGCTGGAGATCCCTTTTTTATTTTAAAAATATTTCTGGGTCATAAACTTAGAAAGGTATTATCTGTCATTTTAAGGGTAGTATTTTATATCAAAGTTGTCACCTGTTGCAGAGAAGTTGTACTTATAAATATTTAATAGTAAAGTAAAAGTTTGTTATTATGAATCTGCTTAGAACTATTAGCGTTTAAGTTTATTTACTCCTTTAAGCAGGGATGGATTTGTGAAATGGTATTAGAATGCCTGTCATTTGCTATTTTAAAGTATTTTATATAAAAGTAATTCCTTGACACTGGGGTTGTGGCTCAGTGGTAGAGTGTTTGCCCAGCACATATGAGACACTGGGTTTGATCCTCAGCTCCACATAAAAAACAAATAAATGAATAAAATAAAGGTATTGTGTCCACGTGTCCATCTACAACACACACACACACACACACACACATATATTTAATATTTAATATTTTGTGGGGGTGGATACCAGGGATCGAATTCAGGGGGCAGGGGCACTCGATCACTGAGCCATATCTCCAGGCCTAATCTGTATTTTATTTAGAGACAGAGTCTCACTAAGTTGCTTAGCATCTCACTTTTGCTGAGACTGGCTTTGAACTCACTGCCCTCCTGCTTCACCCTTCCAAGCTGCTGTGATTACAGGTGTGCACCACTGCACCCAGCTTAAAACAATTTTTTTAAAGTAATTCATTTTAAAATTTATTTAAAAAGATGACTAACCTCCCCACTCCTATCCACCCTTGCAGGAACCTGCATCAATAATACTTCAGTCATGATGTTTAAAAAGGGAAGTTTTGAAATTGGAGGAACCATACATCCAGTTGCAATTAAGGTAAAACATATATATATATATATTTTTTAGTACCAGGGATTAAACCCAGGGGTGCTTAGCCACTGAGCAAAATCTCCAACCTTTTTTATATTTTATTTAGGGACAGATTCTTGCAAAATTGCTTAGGGCCTCACTAAGTTGCTGAGGCTGGCTTTGAGCTTGTGATCTTCCTGCCTCAGCCTCCAGAGCCGCTGGGATTATAGGTGTGCACCACTGTGCCCAGCTAAAACAGATTTCTTAAAAAAGCCTTAGATGGATGACTTTATTGATATAATTACAAATTTTAAAATTTCAAGAATGAGGAAACTGGCATACTCTACTCAGATTCATCAGTTCTTTACTCTCTGCCCCATTTACTGTCACATGCTCTGTCTCTGTGTTCCTATATATGTGTGTGTGTGTGTGTTTGTGTGTGTGTAGCTATGTTAAGTGCTAAGGATTTAGTGCTAATCAGAACAGACACTGCCTCTGCTTTCAATGACCTTCCAGTTACATATGGAGACAGATATTTAATAGGCACATAAATAATCCTCTTTTTGCCATGTTCTGGTACTCTATTTAGAAAATTAGTCTGCTTTAGTCGGTGTTAGATGGCCTGGTAAAGTTTTTGTGATCAGTTCTATCAAAAAGAATTGAAGGAAAGGGGGGTTCTGATAGAGTTGTTTGGCCTGCCCTTAAAAACGTTGAGTTGAATAAGAGAAGCCACTGCTTGGTTTGTAATTGGGATATGTTTTCTTTTCTTTTTTTCTCAGTATAACCCTCAATTTGGGGATGCATTTTGGAACAGCAGTAAGTACAACATGGTGAGCTACTTACTTCGCATGATGACCAGTTGGGCCATCGTCTGTGATGTGTGGTACATGCCCCCCATGACTAAAGAGGTATTTCTTAGATAACACTTGGTCTTGGTGCTTTGTCTAATCAGATAAAGGCAAAAAAAACCCAGGTGTCTTCATCGTTCTCATCATGCCTTTCTGCTTTCTCAGCAATTAGTTTTTCTTTCTTTCCCCTCCCTCCCTTCTTCCTTCCTTCTTTCCTTCCTTCCTTCCTTCAGGGGAGTAATGGGGACTGAACCTAGGGGTGCTGTACCCTGAGCCACAATCCCCAGCCCTTTTTGTGTTTTATTTTGAGACAGTGTTTCACTAAGTTGCTTAGGGCCTAGCAAAGTTGCTGAGGCTGGCCTCCAACTTGCAATCCTCCCACCACAGTCGCTGGGACCATAGGTGTGCACCAATGCACCTAGCTGTTTTTTAAAATACTGTGTTTAGTGCTCTTTAATTCAAGCCAGTTTATATTGAGAGACTCTTTTCCGTAAAAGTTTTACAATTGTTTTTGGTTTATTGAGCCTACAGATAATATGGAATGTTATATTTTGGGTAAAAGTAATAAAAAAATATTAAAGATATACTCATGATTCAAAAATTAATAAAACACTGTATTTTCTTGATAGAATAAATGATACTTGTTATGCTTGACTCAGAATAGAAAGTATTTGAGCTGAAATATGAATCTTATATTTTAAAACAAATATAAATGATTATGAGACATTTTAAGGTGTTATTTAAAAATTCTATACCCTAAATGTGTACTTAAAAAATATATTTTTTTTTCCAACCAGGAAGGAGAAGATGCAGTCCAGTTTGCTAACAGGGTTAAGTCTGCTATTGCAGTACAAGGAGGACTGACTGAACTTCCCTGGTAAGAAATTTTTCAAGAGTTTTATTATTATTATTATTATTATCATTATTATTATTATTATTTTTAAATTTTAAAAATCACTGTTAATGTTACTTATTTAGCTACAGGCTAAGCCAAAAGTGAGTGTGGTTTATACAAAATAACAATGGCTTAACTAATATAGAAGTTTATCTTTCTCACTTAAATGTGGACAGTCCTGGGGGGTACAACAGCTCAATCTGTGTTGCTCCACCATCTTCAAGAAGTGCTTCTAATTTATGGTCTAAGATGACTGCTCCGAATCTACCTAGTGAATACTCAAATGGCCAGCAGGAAGAAATTTGAAAACAGGGATTCACCCATCTTTAAGAGCACACACTGCAAGTTGGACCTGCTACTTACACTTGTATCAGTAGGCTAGGGCTCAAGTTATATGCCTATATATGCTGCAAAGGAAGTTGGGGAATGTAGTCTTTGTTGTAGGTGGCCATGTCCTTAGCTAGAATGTAGGGTTCTTTTATTGAAGAAGAAATGTAGAATGGATTTGAGGGTGAGGCAAGGAGCTACAGACAAGCTTGCTCATATTTAATTCCATTTATAACTATATTAAAGAAAACCTTAAAAACTTGAAAGAAAGGAAATGAGTGAGATATTTTAGTTAGGGTGACTATATGGCTTTCATTTTTTGTTTGTTTGAGAATGACTGAATACAGTTGAGTATATTAGTTAGCTTGGGCTGCCATAACAAAATACCATAGACTGAGTGTCTTAAATAGCAGAGATTTATTTTCTCACAGTTATAGATGCTGCCATGTGGCCATTTCTGGTGAGGGTCTCCTTTTGTGGTGCAAAGGGCTGCTTTCTCCCCTCATTGACATGACATCTTTGTGCAATCAGAGAGAGAGAGAGAGAGAGAGCGAGAGAGAGATGAAAGGAGCACACAAGCTCTGTCTAGTGGGGGGTTTTTTTTTTTTTTTTTTGGTAGCAGGGATTGAACTGAGGAGCACTCACTGAGCAATATCCCCAGCCCTTTTTATTTTTTGTTTTGAGACAGGGCCTCACGATGTTGCTTAGGGCCTTGCTAAATTGCTGAGACTGGCCTCAAACCTATGATCCTCCTGCCTCAGCTTCCCAAGTTGTTGGGATTACAGTTGTGCATGTAATCATGCCTGGCTAAATTGACATTTTTTTTTTGTAGATTGAATGAAAACTGTTGTGTGATCTTAAACTGGTTCTTACATATAGCTATTGCTTTTTTTTTTTTTCTTAAGAACTAATTTACTGCCATTTTAAAGGGGAATAGAGGAAGACTGAAGTCTCTAGAGGTAACACCTCACGGTTGGGGTACTTAGAGCAGCGTGAGGTTTACTGGGTGTTTGGGTGTTTGGAAGGAGAGGTATACAAAAATAATGTCAGGCTTCTCATAGACAAACATCTCTAACTTAAAATTTTTGCTCATTTTTATCCTGGACCTCACAGAAGGAGAAAAGGTCCTTCTGACTCTCCTTCCCTTCCTTAGCTCACACTGTTCAGAATTCATGCAAATGCTATGAATTAGCTAGAGGCAATTCATTTGGATAAAAAAGGCTTTATGGACAATCCTGGGGACCTAAAGATGTTTTTCATTTCATGGAAACTTCCCACAACTGACCCCTCTGCGCAGTTTGTGGACTGTGGTCTACATTTAAATTGAGGGCTTGCTAGTGGCTGTCCCTTAGGTTTGACTTTACAAGCCAGAACTTTGTGCTGGTCTCAGGCAGTCGTCTGCATGGAGGTCAAGTTCTGTTCTCATGGCATCGAGTTCATTAGCTAACCTGTGATCACTCATCACCATCAGAAAGCCCTTGGTAAACACTGGTGCTAACGGGGTGAAAAATTAAACATTCACAGTATAAAGTAAGCGCCTCTCAGTCTGCACTGCGCCTAACAGTTAAAATCTAAGAATTAGAACTGTAGGGAGAGGGTGGCCCCCTGTTTCTTCCCAGCTCTTCAGTTTGTTGTTTCTTTGAGTAGTCCAGAGAAGGAAAGGCAGGAAGAGTCCTCTTAACCCAGGCAGGTCTGCGATTCACCACTCTGGGGAGATTCACAGGCTCTGAATGAGGGGATGATGCTTTCTTAGAGACTAACTGCTGGTGGGATGCAATTTATGATTTCGTTGTTTTTAGCCCAAGTCTGTTTGGAACATGGTAAATTGCAGATACTAGAAATATAGTGTTTGTCTAGGAACAAATCTTAATAAACATGGGATTAGATTTAAATAATGATTAACTTGTGTATCTGCACACATATACACATCATTCTTACCATTTCTTGTAGGTATATTTTAAAACGTTTGTATAGTTTTCCGGTAAGACACAGGTGGATGAAAAAACAATATTTGTTTTCCTTAAGGAAAAAAAAAATAGAGAAATAAATCCTGGTTTTCATAATCCAGGTTTTAATTCAAATATTGAATGCAGCAGCCCTAACTTCTAAAAAGAAACTAAGTAGAGGACGTATCTTTCTTTACTTTAACCAAACATTAGGGAGATCGTCCTTCCTTAAAATAATGTGTATTGGTAGATTGAGGTTGAAATGTGGTCTGCCTGCTTCCAGATCCAGGGCCCTTTGCCCCCTTGCTGACCAGTTGCCTAAGTGCCATGATACAATATTAACACGTGACCCTTCTACATCATTACCAGAGAATATCTTTTATAATTTACCTTTCTTCTCCCAGGGATGGAGGGCTCAAGAGAGCAAAGGTGAAGGACACCTTTAAGGAAGAGCAGCAGAAGAATTATAGCAAAATGATTGTGGGCAACGGATCTCCCAACTTGGAATCAGACTGAGGCCACCCCTGATGCTACCCTGTAGATAAACTTGGCTTCCCAGAACTACCTTAGAAGTGAAGTGTTTTTTGGGGAGGGGGGTTTGTTTCATTTTATTATTTTGTTTTGTTTATTGTTAATATTTTCTACAGGATGATTGTCTCTACCTCTTTATGCCAGAGGCAGAACCAATAGGTGACCTGTTGTGGCTTTCCTGAGGCTGTTGGAGCACTAGCCTCATGAATTGTAAGGTAGTTGACTGAGGCAAAACAGATTCTGCCTTTTGTAAAATGATGGTGTCATTGGTGATTGAATGAAATATTTTTATAGGGACAAGTGCTTCTAGGGAGTATTTGAACCTCGTTCATAGGGTAAATTCTTGGAAACTATCCCAACTATCTGTGTCCACAATTTGCTTTTTCTCACTTACACAACGGGGATCACACAACAATGTGAGGTTACCATTGGGGTTCTGTGTTACCGCAAAGTTGAAAAGAAAAATGGAACATTGTATTTTAGGGTGAAGGACAACTTTGTGGTGACCTGACCAGAAAGCAAAAAGGAAGTATAAATTATTTTTTCACTAGTGTGTTGGGACAGGAATACTATTTGGTAAGCTTCACCAAAGAAAAATTGAATGGAAGTAAAGGTGTGTGTGTATTTATGTAAAGGAGACTCACAACACATTTCAAGCAGCAATGGTGATTAATAGCTTAGTTAGTTTTTCTTGTGTGTATGCTAAAGATCCCCTTCCATCTACCAACTTGTTTGTTTTTGTAACCAAACACATTTTCAAATATAAGGAACCTTAAAAAAAAAGTCACATTGGGTATCTTCAGTATGAATGAGTGAAAGCCGCCCCTCACCCTCCCACCCTTAGTGGTTTATTCTCAGATCTTCCTGGTCTTTTAAGCAGAAAAACAAGTGGTATCATTACCTTTTGGAAACTGAGCCTTAAATATTTTTAAAGGGGGGAAATAAGCATTCCCTAACTCAAATAGCATAAGCAATGTTGGATAGCAATATAATACCACTGTAAACTCTTGAGTATTATCTCTCCTGGTAACCTTGTACAGAATGTGAACTGTCTTACCATGAACATAAATAAATTTTATATTTTTAAACATGTGTTGCATTATTTCCTCCTCCCCTCTACCTTCTGGTTTTGAGTGAATTAAATTCCTTCTTATTATAAACAAGGATTGTTTTCATTTCAGTGACATACTCAAATTTTATTGGAGTGGAACACTTAGGAAACTAGAACATCAGCCACTAGTCTTTTTTTCCCCTTTTAATTATTTGGAGTCTGGCCCTGTGGACTCTGCCCTTGAACAAAGTCCCAGACTTAAGATATTTTGCAGGTGAACCCAGACAATTACACCTAAAAGACTAGCCAGGCAGGCCTGGCATGGCCCCATCAGTGTGTACTCTTCTCATCTAGCTAGTAGGATTTGATCCCAAAGAAAAATTTGTAAACAGGTTTTCCTCGTGGTCAGCACCTTTCTGTTCTCATATCCCCACTCTCTTTCTCTGTTGCCTCTTCTTCAAACTGTTGGGGTGATCTTGACCAGGAATCATCAAATTCAAATATGTTGAGATGACCCTTTGTTTTATTTGTTTTTTCCCTCAGAAAAGTTCCTTTTTCTTCTTTTCATATTCAGTATAGCTTGAATTAAGAGATCTATTTTATTAGCTCACTTCTCAGAAAAGCTAATAAAATAGCTAATGGTATTTTGTTTGGACACGGATGTGTCTAAGCACCATGAAAACAACAAAGCTGTTGTGTATTCATTGGGCAGTCTGATGCTAGCTTGGTCAGAACTTTCTCTTCCTGTAGGTCTTTGATGTACACAGTGAATTTTCAAGTTGCTTGCAATTGTCATTTTACTGAAAACATGTTTCTGGAAAGCAAGTCTTGATAAGATTTAGCTCAAGATTCCCACTTTGGAAGTCTTGTGTCTATAGAGTTTAGTACTCCTGAGTTTTCAGGACAATGATTGTAGTGAGATATCAAGGGTAGACAGGATTTGGTAGAAAAATCTCATCAGCATCATTCCATCTAATCCTTGCATAGATTGATGAACTGAACCTTGAAATTACCCTCCCGCCCCCAACTTCTTTCTGACTCTTTGTCCTGGCTGTAGGCCATAAGTACACACAACAAGGTTTAGGAGTGCCAGTGGCTTCTGAAATGCCATGGCACATGCTGGGGTTGGATGAGCAGCCATGTGTGAAGCAGTAAATACACTCAAGAGCATAGGGAAATGGTTCTGAATGGCAGTTGGGTGCAAAGGACAGTCTCCAGGAAGGTTTTCCTGTATAAACAACTTCCCAAGCCATAGTCAACATCATCTTCGTGGCCTGACCACCCTCTCCGTGTGTATGTGGCACTTTGAGCATTCTGTTGATACCTTAACATATAATGTTTGTTGGTTTCTTGTAATCACAGATAATATGTGATCATGAGGACTACCTTTTGGGGTCACAGCTGCTCTCAGTCTTTGTTTCTGAAATATCTTATTATTGACCTAAACCACCTCCTGATTGGACAGAGTAGGTTGTGATGGGAGGTAGGGGCAAGGCTGGGGTATGGGATTGGTACTGTAGATTGGAGTCCCTAATAATAATGTTGACAAAAGTGTGCTCTTTTTATTTGCAGTATGAGTGAAGAGGCTTTGACAGGGGTGCTCTGGGTTACATCCCCAGCACCCCCCTCCTTTTTTTAGAGACAAATTCTGGCTAAGTTGCTGCGGGGGCTGGCCTTGAACTTCTTCAGCCTCCCTAGTAGTTGGGATTACAGGCTTGCAGCATTATACCTGATTTGCTTTTGGTTTTTAACACATGTTCCTAGTGGATTCTATTAGTATTTGGTATTATCATTTTCTCAATGATGATAAAGGTAATAAGATAGTCAAAACATGCTGTAGTTGTGGCTCTGGTACTTATTGGCTTCGCAGCTTTTACACTTATCTGATTTTCCCTTGTCTTTTTATTGATGGTAAAAAAGAAAATAGAAAATACAAAAGTGTATGTGAAAGTAAGCAGGTCCACTTTAAGGGCAATGTAACAACAAATACCTGTGTACTCATTACCCAGACTAATAAGTAGAACTTGACTGTATCCCCAAAGGCAGGAAAAGTCATTTTCTTATTCTAATTATCTTGACAGACATTAGGATTTTTTTCAAACTGTTTTGTAAACATGCTTCTGTATGTTTCTTGATGGACGCTCACAAGAGTTTCTCTAGTCTATTGTTTAGTGGCATTAGGATAGCTGCATGGTAGGGTATCAGCATACCCAATTTTAACATAGACACTATTGAACCATTTTCAAAACTGGTGTGCCATTTTATACAACCCATCAGTTGTGAGAGAGCAACATTGAAGTCTAACATAAGAACATTTTTGGATTTATTTTATCATCTTATTTTGTGCTTTCTCTTCTATTTTTTTCTTCTTCCCTTTTGAATTTATTACTACTTCCACTTATTTTATCTATGTGAATTGGAGATTAATAGCCTTATTTTTATCATGCTGTTACTTTAAAAATTTCGACTTGCATGCTTGTTGTAGTCTAAAGTCAATCATTTTCCTAACTCTCCTGAAAAATATAAGGATCTTAGAACTTGAATTTCAGCCATCTCCCCTCAATGTACGTGATATTATGATATCATGAATTGTAATCCCACGAATTGACACTGCCCCTGTTGACGTCATCAGCCTTGTCATTGGGTATGGTCTATGTTTACCCAGAATTTCACTACTTCCTCTTTGGTTCTTCCCCCTTTTATCATCTTATTTTGTGCCTTTTTTCTGTTGCTTCTTGGTCATGGAGTCTTATTTATTTGTGTGTTTAGAGTATTTTCATGATGCTCAGTTTTTTTTTTTTTTTTGGAATTTTATCTTCTTCTCTCAGGATTCTACAATAAGAATTGGTAAACTACAGCCCATGGGCCCAATCCTGCCCTCCACCTGTTTTGTAAATAAACTTTTGTTGGAAGACAGCTGCACCCATTTGTCAATGTAGATCTCTATCTGCTTTTGCCTTACAATAGCAAAGTTGTGCAGTTGCCCTTTGGCCCACAAAACCGCAAATATTTACTCTCTGGCCCTTCACCCTGTATAGTTCACCCATGTGAGCACAAGGTCAGTATCCATCCAGGATTACTTTAAACTAAATTATTGGCTTGAAGTTTATTTGGCCATGTAAATGTGAGAGACCTTACTTAGCCTGGAAACCCAAACAAAGGCTGTCTTGTGGTTTTAAATTCTCTGCATAATGTTTTTGAGGTTAATCCATGTTGTGTTTATAAGTAGTTCATTCTTTTTAATTGCCAAGTGGTTTTAAATCCTTAGAGGAAAATTATTTTTCCCTTTCACTCAGCACTAAGTTCTGACAAGCCATTTACTGTGCTCATGTCTGAAGTGGGGGATGGATGATCTTCTCTCATAGTCCTTTGAGAGTCCCCCTTCAAAGGAAGTGTCTTGGGCTTCCCACCTCAAACTGGCCTTTCAGTCTGTCTTTTTTGCCTTAGGCCCTTAATGATCTAGAAACTCAAGTTTGCCTGGTTTGGCCAGTTGTGGTTAGGTAAAAGCCAAGTGCTGGCCCCTTACTCTGCTTTCCTCTCTGGGACCTCATCTCCCTCAGACCCTGGCTTGAGCAGTCCTAACTCTTTCTAGTTTGTAGAAGTACACAGAATTTTCTTTTATCCATTGTAAATTTTTAAAAAGCCTCTCTGATTGTTTTTAGATTAAAGCCATTTTGTTGTTGTGATGGTGGTGGTGGTGGTACCAGGGATTGAACCCAGGGATGTTTAACCACTGAGCCACATCCCAGCCCTTTTTGTGTTTTATTTAAGAGACAGGGTCTTACTGAGTTGCTTAGGGCCTAGTTAAGTTGCTAAGGCTGGCTTTGAACTTGAGATTCCCCCTGCCTCAGCCTCATGAGCCGCTGGGATTACAGGCATGCGCCACTGTGCCTGGTTTAAAGGCATTCTATTAATATAAAAAGTAATGCTTTTGCTCTCATATATTGTTATTACTATTTGTAATTTAAATATTTCTCTGGATTTTTAAAAATTAGATGAATTTTTTTTTCAAAAAAGAAAATTTTGATCGCATTAGGGATTGAATTCAGGAGCGATTTGCCATGGGAGCTACATACTAGTCTTTTTAAAAATTTTATTTTGAGACAGGTTCGTGCTAAGTTGCTAAAGGATTCACCAAATTGCTGAGGCTGGCCTTGAACTTGTGGTCCTCCTGCCTCAGCCTCCCTATTCATGGGATTATAGGTGTGTGCCACTGTACTGGCAGATGAAGTGATTTATAAGGAAGATATGGACCAAGCAAGGAAAAGCTGTGAGGTTTTTAGCATTGATAGAGAATACCTGAACTCCATAGCAAGAAGGCAGCTTATGGATTCTGAGGGTGAGTGCCTTTTTTGGCATTCTGGGTAAGTGGTAAGTTTTCTGGCAGCTCATGTTATAGCCCTGGGGTGAGGATCCCATCAAGGTCTTTTATGACACTTAAATGGGGCTGGGTGGGGGGACGTATCCTAAATCCCTGTAATAGGTGCCCCCTGCTGTTGTAAATGGAATATAGCAATTCTGACTACTTGCTGGCCTAGGCCCTATCTGGAAAAGATGCTCAAGAGAGCTCTTTTGAGGCCCTAGGTTTGATCCTCAGCACCACATATAAATAAGTAAATACATAAATAAAGGTATTGTGTCCAACTACAAACTCCAAAAAATAAAATTAAATTAAATCAAACCAAAAAATGAGAAGATAGCATATGTGTATCCTATTTTGGTGAGGTAAAATATTTCAGATCCCTCTGAGCTCCAGACTATATAAAGTCAACAATGACAAAGAAATGACAAAGTATGGACACAACAATGTCAAAAATAGACAAAGCCCTTAGACTTGTGGAAATACCCTGCAGCAGATTGGAAAATAAGAAAAATCAAGGGAATCAATCATGTTTAGATGAAACAGTTTATGGAGGATTTTAAAATTTTTCCTGTAAGCCTGGGGTAGTAAAAGGCCTAGGCACACTTTCTGAAGAGTTAGCTGAAGAGTATATTCCCCTTATAGCTAGAATGAGTGTGAATGGATCAAAATGTGTG